TATAGAAAATTCAAAAAATACCTTTTGAAGAACAAAAAGGTACCAAAAAGTCCCCTTTTATAGATTATCATTTATTCCGGGCTCTAAATGTTTAATTTCATGTTTCTAGGTTTAATTTTAAAGAAAACTCAAAAAAATACCTGTGTAGAATGAAAAAGTACCGAAAAATCCCTTTATTATTAATTTCATGATTCTATTTCAATATCATAAAAACACAAAAAGTACCAGTTGGAGAATGAAAAACTACAAAAAAATATCACTAGCTACCGGGGTTCCAAATAACAACACATTAGCATATTAAGTGTTTCCAAATCTAAAAATTTTATCTAAATTGGATCATTTTGTTTAAATAAAATCCCTCTTTACCCCTTTTGGCACTTTTTTCTTCCCCATTATTGAAATAAAAATTATATTCCAAAAGTTGCAAGTGGGAGCCCATTATGTATTTGTGTAAGTTAATAAATCAAAAACAAGTTTTTATGAAAAAAGTACCAAAATTAGGTACAATTTTCACCCTTAAACGTCAGAATATCCAAAAAATTACCAACTCCATATTTTTATTTTTTCGTTAAGTTATGAAGGAGTCAAAAATATTTGTTAAATTGGCACTGGTTTAAAAGATACATGGGGTGCAAAAAAAGTACCAAAGTACAGTTTTTACCCGTTTATTTCCTAAAGGGACCATATTTAAAAAGGAACAGACACCTGTCCGGTTATTTTTTAAATGAACGTGGATAAGCTTGAAACTATTTTTGTATCTTTTCTAGTTTAGGAGATATGATGTTACTGAATTTACCCGTTTTTACCCCCTTAACAGTTGTGATTTGGTCAAATGATTGTTATTTTTTACGTTTACACCAAAATATCGATCTTACACCGAAAGTAATACAAATATTTTAAATTTGATGAATTTATATGAAAGACTTTAGAATGACGCATGTTTTGTACCACTTTTTTTCCTTTTTATACCCTTTACCTTTGTAAGAAGGGAATGAATGCCGAAGTGCTTTACGTGAGTACCTGTCGTGTTCAATGAAGAAATCAGGTGGCAATTTCTGTACATGGCTAAAGCCGGTCCATGCACAAGCACTTTGCTCAAGTGTTCGAGCTATCTAATTTCTTGCCATAGTAGTCCCGTTGAGGAAGAACAGGTGTCATAAGCAAGCTCAATCTAACCCTGACAAGTTAAAACCTTATATGTCGCTCAACCACACTACTGAGATGGCTCTGTTGATTCGGCAACAGCACCTAGGAGACGTAATTGGTAGTCCGAAACAGGGATCATTTTAATAGACAAGACTTATTTCAGTGGCCACAAAGACCCACTGTGTTTTAGAGTAAACTCCAACATACTCAACCATGAAAGGAAAATTGCCGATAAATTAAAGAAAGGTCAATGACGGTTTACACCACAACTCCTCCTCCGTCCTGCCAAAACATCATTCAGCACATCATAAGCGATCAAATCACTCCATCCGTCAAATCCGTCAAAACATCAGAACATCAGAAACTCCACATCCCATATATCCAATCTTTGCATTATCAGCTCAAATCCAACATTTTATTAATCCACAGTCATGCTCTGTAGCTTGTACCGCTCCTAGCATCTGGGACACAGAAACAGAAATGTATCTTGAAAATTATATTTCACCGTGTATCGCTCTTTTAACCAAGCACCCCCCTTCCTACGATTTCAACCACAGCCACTACGTGAATCCCGAAAGAACCTCAACCAACTGACCAGCCAGGACAAGTCCTGTGGGCAACTGGACACCCGTAGTACCAGATTATGCTCTGGTTAGACCTATTTTCAATTCATGCAAGGACTAGGCCAGGCAGTGAATTATAAACACCAATTTATAGTCCCTGCAGACTAGAGGTATTGGTAGCACCTATCTACCCCCGGATTGCAATACACCAAGATGCGGTCTATCATCAAGGAAACATGCCCAGGGGGCTGTAAGAAAGGAATATATAAGTTTGTCATTCCGTTTTAAATTTCTAAAATATTATTTTCCGACCCTATATTTTAGATCCTTATAGATACCGGAGACGATTTAGCCATGTCCGTCTGTCTGTCTGTCCGTATGTATGTTGAAATCAGTTTTCAGAAGACCCCAGATATCTGCGAGATCCGAATCTTTAATAATTCTATCAGACATACGGTCGAATAGAACGCCAGTGAAAATCAGCAAATTCGGTCCATAAATAAGGAAGATATGAGCAAAAATCTGAGACAACCTCTGGAAATTTCATCAAAAATTTACATTTTTCGTTCATGCACAGACAAAACGATAAGGGCCAATCTTTAGGTGAAAGATTAGCGATTAAATTAAAATTAATCCTCGAAAGATGTTTTTGAGTACTTAATTAGTTAATTTTGTTTGCAAGTTTAAGCACCCAATGGAGGTGGTTTAATCTTAAGCACGAAATGCAAAAGTGTAAACAGCTGATGCAAAAAAATTAATAAAATTTTTATAAATATAAACATTAAAATGTTCTATTTATTGATTAGTATAAATTAAGGACACTTCAAAATACATTTTTTTGTTTTTAATTTAAGTTTTCATTAATTTTCATATTAAATTTACAATTGCCTTCTTCTTTCTATAAAATGTGCATTGTTTTGATAACAAACAGTGAAGTTTTCTGTTGTTTTGTATGGCAACACTGCGGAGTTTAATCTTGTACTCAAAAACATCAAAGGGGATTAATATAAGATTAAATTTATTTTTAGATTAACTAATCTGATTATTAATTGGCATTTGATTACCATCTCAAAAACCCGCTCTAAACAAACAAAACACATAACCATACGGTAAATTTTGTTATTGTTTTACTTCTTTATAAAAAAAGAAAGCAGGAACAACAATAATGAAAGAAGCAATGTGTTGTTGTTACTGGCTAGAAACTTCAGTTTGTAGAGCCCGGTTTAAGTGAGAACCTATAAAAGGGGACTTTTTCGTTCTACAAAAGGAACCTAGAAACATGAAAGACCATGATTCGGTGAAAACCTATAAAAGTGGACTTTTTGGTACTTTTTCGTTCTACAAAAGGTACTTTTTGAATTTTCTATAATAATGAACCTAGAAACATGAAATTTAGCATGATTAGGCGAGAACCTATAACAGGGGACTTGTTGGTACTTTTTAAATTTTCTATAATATTGAACCTAGAAACATGAAATTAAGTATGTAGAGCGAGAACACATAAAAGGGAACTTTTTGGTACTTTTTGTTCTCGAATAGGTACTTTTTGAATTTTCCATAATGTTAAACCTAGAAACATGAAATTTAGCATGTAGGGCCTTGATTAGGTGAGAATCTATAAAAGGGAACTTTTTGGTATTTTTTCGTTCTACAAAAGGTACTTTTTGAATTTTCTTTCTAAATTTTATACGCTATCGTAACTTATTATTTTTTTACAGAGTCATTAAGTTTGGATTACCCACATTACTATGTTCTAAATTCTCTTTTACACATTCTATTGAATTCTATTTGAACAATCTTTTTTAGTTAGAATAGCTAGATATTGGAATTATTTACCTCTAGAACTAAGAGTATTCTCCCATTCCAATAATGCTTCCGGCTCAAACTCATGAGCTTTCTCGCCTCTAACTAACTTGTTACGAGTTTTTCTATACCATAATTTTTAATTATTTTTTTCGAATAATTTGTCCATACTTTATCACTGCTGGGATCTGTCTTTTTAAATTCTAATACTACATTGTTTATTACCATTGGTTTGGGAACCAATATCATAATGGAGCGCATTTATAAATTTATAAAATAAATTACCATTATAATATTTATATTTATAATTTTTTATTTAGGATTACTGCCTTGTAATATATAAATATTTATTGGCCAATAGTGGCTTTTTATATTACTATGAATAAAATTAAAATAAAAAAAATAAATTTTCTATAATATTGAACCTTGAAAGATGAATGCATATAGGTCTTTTTGGTACTTTTTCGTTCTACAAAAGGTACTTTTTGAATTGTCTATAATATTGAACCTAGAAACATGGGCTCGGATTAGGACTTTCTGTTTTTCTGTAATAATTGTAGTTACTAACTACTTTTTTTAACACATCATGGAGAAGGGTATATAAGATTCGGCACAGCCGAATATAGAACTCTTGTTTAAATTCAATTTCTTTTTAGATTTTTTGTCTAAGCGAGTCAAATATTTATTTATTTATTTACAAAGTATATAAACATAATTAATTATGTTTATAAAAAAAAGGTCACAAAAGTCATAGTAAATTTATTAGAGTATTAAATATACCACCAATAGTGAAAACCGCATCTGTGTAATTTTGTTTGCTTTGTTTATCAAAATATTACACCCTGTTACAACAAACCAAATAAAATTACACTATTTGTGCCCGTGTTATTGTTATCACTCCAATTTTAAAAAGGCTGAGTAAAGTTATAGAATTTATTACAAATCAATGAATGAAATTCTGAATATTTTAACAACACAAGACCATAATTAATGTTAGTACATATTACGATTTTTTACAACATAATTGTTGTTAGAACCTGACATTTTTTAAATGCTAATAGTCCGAAGACATCAACATTTTTTGTGGGTTATTGGTTCCATAAAAAACATCATTAGACTGAATTTTCGCTTCGGATTGTCCTGATTCATAAATCAGAACTCAATTACAATCAGCGATATTAGTATCAACCAAATGTTTTATACCCCGGATTAAAACTTTGAGCTATAGTGGTACTGTTATAAAATCTTTTAAATCTTATTAATCTTATGATATACTGAAAAGTGTAAACATTATATTGCAGTATTAAATTTTTAAATCAAACAAATATATGGAATATTTAAAACATACTCTTTTAGTCTGATTACCCAGATTTTTATTCTCGGTTATCCGACAAACCTTAAAACTTTGTTATTTATAAAAACAACTTAATATTCTTATATTAAAAAAAAATTAAATAAACATATTTATGTATTAAATGATCATTCTAGCAAAGGCCGGGATGGCTCCAACGATCACCAGTTGGTTTCAGCACAACAACTCGTGGTACTGGTAGGGTCGGATGTATGGAGAGAGGTCGTATGCGTGGAAAATCTATTTATCATCCTGTTTTCCAAAGACCAAATGCCATGTTTGATGATGACCAGCGTTCGTCTACAATCAAGGTAATTTAGTGTTAAATATAGTGTTAATGTCTTCAATTCGCGATTTATTTATTTTTGTTGAAACATTGATTATTTAATGGAATACTGATAGTAGGTTACCGAAACACTTAATATTTAATTTATTTCGTTTTGTAAAATTTTGTCCGAAAAACTCGAAAATTTTCACAAACGTTTTTCTTAAATATTTATTTATTTTATTCAAATAATATGCTTTTTTATCTGCTGCTAGCACATACACATACATACAGTATTGTTGGTACTTTGTACACTTCTAATGCAATAAAAATAAAAGTAATAAAGAAAATCCAAAATTTTTTCTGTCGTTAAAAGCAAAAAACAGGCAAAAATATATAACTCGCATGTACTCAATTTTGCACCAAACAAAAAAAAAAAAAAAAAAATTGGAAAAAAGTTTTTTTTTTTTTTTTTTTAATATATGTTCCAAAATCCGTTATTACGTTCGTTTGGATATATTTTCTAAAAAATATTCATTTACTTGATTTCGAAAACTCTCCCTCTCGTGCTCAATTCGCTGCTAAAGCTCGCCCAAATTGGTAGGAGTTAATCGGTATTGTTTCCACCGCTCCTTCAGGATTCACCAAAAATTCTCTATGGGATTGGTTTCGTGGCATTGAACTGGATACTACAGCAATAAGAAATTATGTTTTGAACACCATTCATTACTATTTTTGATGTGTGTTTTGAATACTCACATCGCAGTGACATTACTTCTTCCCTAGAATAGGCGTTATTATATACACAGTCAAAGGATGAATCTGAAATTTATGTATATATTATTACGTATTGAGGTCGGAACTTTGATTTAGATACTATTTCGGTAGGAAATTTTGCTGGGCTATTTTTTATGAGTGCTTTAAATCGACATTCTGCTGAAAAATAACTCCTTCGATAGAGTTGTCGCTCTTATTTAGAAAATCGGGATAATAAGTCTATAAAATCGGGATGATGAGTCTTCAAAATACGCAGATAGACTTTTTTCGTTGTTATTTTCCCGATTCTTTCAAAATTGGTGACACCATCCTATGGAGAGAATTCAAAGGTAGCATGTAAAGGAAAAACAGTAATGACATGGGGTTGCTTTATATGGTGCCATCTTGGACCAATGCAAAGAATCGATGAAATGATGCGTAAAGAAGACCATTTGCGTATTTTTCAGATGTATCATTCCAATTTTGTAGTCCCATCATCACGATTTTATATTTAAAAGTGGTATTCCTGCAGATGAAGTAATTTTTCAACGGGATGGCGACCCAATGTATAAGTCATAAATTGTAAAGATTGGTTTTTCTGGAAAATTTTTTCACTAAAGCTGTTAGCACTCAAAGTTCCGAACTCAATCCAATTGAGAATTTCTGGTCAATCGTATTGTGTCGGATGGGACAATAACGATTAAGTCCAGTCAATTTGGGAGAACTTTGGCAGCGGATTGAGAACACTCCAAGTTAAGCTAACGAAATTTTAGCAAAAATTTATTTAATTTACGTAATCAAACTCTTTCAAAATTCAATTATTACCTAAAGTTTTTGTGGAGAGCAATATTGAGTACATGCGAGTTATTTTCGTTTTGCCTAGTTTTTACATAGAATTCGCTGCTTTTTGTTTTGATTTTCAATTAATTTTGTTACATAATAAAAATAAATTAAATGCCACTTTTGGATTTCCAATATTAGTTTAATTTTTATTCCACTAGAAGTATACAACTGCTTTTACCTTTTTGCTTAACTAAAACTATGAGAACATAAACAAGCAAAGTCAAACAGCAAAGCCAAACTCAAAACAAACTCATTACTAGCTGCAGTGGTTCAGTGAAATGTTTTCTGCTTACATACAGTCAGTCACAGCGATTAATTTGAAACAATCACTACTGCTTGCAGCATTTCAGTACTTCTATTTTTCTTTGTGCTTTCGCTGTACTTCTTCGCTGCGATATTTTACTTTGTACCAGAAGTGTGTGAAGGTGGTTTTGATTTGTTATTGTAGAATGTTGAAAAATTTTTCCGTTATTGTTTTTGCGTTGGTTTTTTGATAAACAAGTTGTTTTTATGGGAAATAACCGTTTTAGTGTTTTTGTTAAATGATTGTATGCATGTAGATACGCTCGTATGTTTGTATGTATGTATGTATGTATGTATGTATGTATGTATGTATGTATGTATGTATGTATGTATGTATGTATGTATGTATGTATGTATGTATGTATGTATGTATGTATGTATGTATGTATGTATGTATGTATGTATGTATGTATGTATGTATGTATGTATGTATGTATGTATGTATGTACGTATGTAGGTATGTATGTATGTATGTATGTATGTATGTATGTATGTATGTATGTATGTATGTTTGTATGCATGTATGTATATATACATATATATGTATGTACGTATCTACATGCATAAAATCATTTAACAAAAACCTTAAAACGGTTTTTGTCCACAAAAAAAACAACTTGTTTATCAAAAATACAACTCAAAAACAATAACGGTACAAAGTGAAAGAGCGTAGCGAAGAAGTACAGCAAAAGCACAAAGAAAAATGGAAGTGCTAAATGCTGCAAGCAGTAGTGATTATTTCAAATTAATCGCTGTGACTGACTGCGTAAACAGAAAATATTTCACTGGATCATTGCAGATAATGAGTTTGTTTTCGTTTTATTTGCTTTGCTTTCTGCTTTTGCTTTGGATACAGTCGCTGAAAAACTTTAAGCAAAGCAGATATTTTGGTGCTTTTGCTAATTTTAAGCAAGCAATACAAACCTTGATAAAAAGTACCAACATGTACTCATTTTTGATCTCTACTATATATATACATAAGTGTAAAAGACCTCATTTTATATTACTACAGCGAAAAAACTGTTAAGTGATTATTAAATAAGCAATTTAAAAAAAAATATTAAATTTTTTACTTTATGATTTTGCTGTATAACATCTAAAATTAAAATTAATTTACTTTTTTGTCGGACAAAATATAGTATAAATTTTATATATCATTATTAAAAATGTTTGTATATCAATTAAGGCATTTTTTAACATTATAATTCGGAATCGCCTTCCATTCTCTTAGATTTTCCTTTATATTATTATTTTCAAAATAAATACATGTCTTAATTAATCTATTGGATTTAGGGCGGAGCACAATGCTATATTTGGGAAAAGTAAATTTTTCGACAATTAATTTCAAGAAATCTAATGATGCAATTCAATTTAAAAGGAAGAAAAAATATTTAAATTACATTTGTGTAGTTTAACTGCCTCATTCATAAACTTTTACCAAAGGTTTATAGAACAAATTTTGTATGAAAATTTGATTTATAAAACTTTGATAAAAGTTTATGAATAAGACCCTAAGAGATTTGGGTAAATCAATGCTCTAAATAATTCATCATTTGCAGTTTTCATTAAAGTAAAAAAATGTTAGCTCTGTCTACCTCCTTGATATTACTACTAATACATGAAATGTTAGAAAGTATTCTTTAATTTTATGAAAGGACCCAAAATAATTGCCGGATTTTTAATTAATAAGAAACAAATGTTTTAATAATTGTTATTTACGGAAATAAAAAAATTAAATTTGCATAATAATTTCTTTAAGATCAATATTTTTTAATCGAATTCTAATAGTTATGAATGAGTAATATAATAAAAATATTTCATATCTCTCAACTAAAACTGTGTCCAAAAAATATTTTTATGGTTATGATTTTATGGTTAATTATTTTTCCATCTTTCATTAATATTTTAAGTAGCGCAAAAATATTTATTGAAATATAAAACTTATAACCATAAAACGTATAACTATTATGACTATGATTTTATTTAGTTATTTTTTATTTTATTTAACAATATTCAATAACCTAGCCTAGTTATGTGAAAACTTTTAGTAGTTTTTGCTATCGCTGAACAAAATTAAATTTATTTATTTATTATTCTTTATTTTGTCATTAATAAATTTTTACATTTGGCTTAGTACAGTAAAGAGTTTAGGAACTACGTTCATTTTCTACTTAGTAATTATTTCAAAATTTAATGTATACGAAAATGCTTTAATATTTATTAAAGGAAGGTAAAAATTTAACAAAAACATTTTTAAAGCTGGGTGTAGATTAAAAACTTAAACTATGTGTAAAAAAACAAAAATTAAGATTGTATCAGATCGTTTGAGCGATTATACTGGGAATATTGACATCTTGTTTGGAAATTGTGAGTTAGTTTTTAAATTTTAACATGTACGAGATCAAGGTTAGCGAGAGTATGTTAACGTTGGGTTGAGTAATGCCAAGGTAGATTATAAATTAATTTTAATAGTTTATTATGAGCAATTTGGAGTTTATTTATATGACCATACTGGGGCGCAGGAAATAATAATGGGTGAAAAATTGATTTTACAATTAATTTTTTGTTGTTTTTGAAGTTCAGATTTCCCGTTTATACTTGGATACAGCATTCCAGTCATCACATTAATTTTGTTGAGCAAATATGAAATATGTTCATTAAAACAAAGTTTGCTGTCGAGGATTATGCCAAGATACTTAACTTTATTTCCTCAGGAGACGTTGTGGTTCATAAATTGAAGTGGGATTTGAGGTGTAAAGCAGTCCTTTCTCTTCCTTGTAAAGTAAATGACTTGTGCTTTTTCTGGATTTATCATTCCCAGGAAAAACTTACATTGAAAAGTAATGAGTTAAAAAGCTAATAAAATCTCTTTTCACTACTTCTTCATTACCGTTTTAAGTCATTATTTTAACACGGTGATGTCATTGGAGGCAAGTACTTCTACGCACGCTTACAAATAGGGAGTTAAAGAAGTACTTACAAATAGGGAGTTAAAGAAGTACTTGCAATTTCTCTTACAAAACAGTTGCTGAGTAAGTTATTTTGTTTTTTTAATAATAAAAATAGCCAGCTAGAATACGAACCATGGACTTCGGTTTATTAGTCAAATGTTCCACACACTGCACCACTGCTTAGCTATTTTAT